TAGCCATGTGCCAGTAACAGGTCCCTCTTTCTGTGGTGGAGGATGTCGTCTTTTCGCTTCCTGTTCCAGTTGCTGTGCCTGCCATTTGCCGCCATGCTGTCCCCACCATTACGGATTCTAAGCCTCTGGAACCCCAAGCCAGATAAACCCTTCCTTCTGTAGGTTGCCTTCTGTCAGTTACCTTGGTTGTGGTGTTTTTATCACAGCAATAGAAAGTAATGGATACAGCGTCTCCTAGGCATGTCACGGGGAATCCTAATCTGAACCCAGGGAAAGCATTTCTTTTGACTGTCTTTCTCTTCCAGGAGATTCCATCATGGATACTCTTTTGCCTAATTCCTGGCGGTCCATGGGAAGTAGGGTTCATATACATTAATCTCCCAGAGCATAACAAATTAATGCCACTATTAAATCTGTCTGCTTCAATCTCAACATTTAGAGACAAAAAAAAAAATCACATTAGTTTGCTCATTTTATTGAATTTTCCCAACAGGGTAGGATGAATCAGAAGGAACTCTAGGAGAAATGGCTTGGAAGGCTGATGGATACTTGGCAAAGGATCTCTTTGATTGTTTTTCTTTGATACTTTGTGCAGTTGGACACTTATTTTACAATTGAGAACATGGCTGCAAATCAAAATAATGCTTTGAAAAGACCCTATAGAACACATTCTGCCCCGTGGGCTGTCAGGGGGGTAATTCTGCCTCGAACAGAGTGACTCTCCAGGCCGACCTTCTGGCTTTGCTCTGCATGTTTGTGCACTGGTATGAAGCAACAGGCTCCTGAGTCATTAGCGACCGTGAGGACAATGTAACAATATGCACATAATTACGGCTAAATCCTGTATATAGAAAGATCCAATTATTTCCATAAGCACTGGCTTCAATTCTTCTTCAATCCATAAAAGCTAAAAACAGATCCAATTATTTGAATATCAATGTTAAACAGTATTTGATAACCATGAGAACAGAGTCTCAGATTGGCATGACCAAAAATAAATAAATAAAAAAAGAACAACCTTTGTTTAGAGATGTTTAAATTTTCACATTTTCAGCCAAATGAATTTTCCCAGGTTCTTCAATTACTGACTTCAGAGATGGTGACATCTATATATATTAAAGGACCCCTGGAGATGGCAATAAATACTTAGTATAGTTGTGCATGTATTCAAATTACATATTATGAACTCAAATCTGATCACGCTGAGTTAATGACAATGAGTGTGACATGAACTTCTGGGCCAAATGTCAGCTAAATTACATGTTTACACACTCCACGGGTACTTTTCTCTTCAGCTCACAAAGGTAACGTCCCCAGAAACAACAGCAAAGAACTAGAAAATGTCAGAGCTCTGTTTACAATAGTAAGGGTGTGGCAAAAGCCTAGACGTCCATCAGCAGACAAATAGCTGAGGAAAATGTGATACATATAAACAGTGGAATATTAGTCAGCTATAAAGAAAAACGAGATCATGGAAATTTTAGAAAAATGGATGGACCTGTATTAATCATGGTGACCCAAACTCAGAAAGAAAAAGAAGACACATGTTTTCACTCAGAGGATCCTAGTCTGTAATGTAAGCATGTATATACGTAAGCAGATGTAAGAGGTGTCTGTGTGAATAGGTGTAAGTGTGAGTACAGCACACAGTTTGGAAAAGGGGCAAGAGAGAGTGACATTGGGTGGTGAGGAAGGATGGAATGGAAGGCAAAAGTACCCAGGAATCAGAAAAAAGGAAATCAAGCCTTTTTTTTTCTGTTTTCTATTCTGGAACAATTGCCCCCCTTCTGCCCCCATGGTGGGTATGTGAACTCAACTTCCTGTGTGTTGAAGAAGCAAGAGTCATTTTGCCTCTGTCAGAGCGCGGCACCTGTTCTTTGTCTGAGGCAGTGATTGTGAAGTGGAGCTTTCCTTTGCATCCCATTGTCCCTTAGTGCTGGGGGACATGGATACCAGGAGTCACTGAGAACATTTGTCCCACTGACCCACTTAGTAAACATGAGTTTTAAAATGAATTGTTCTAAGAGAAAAGGTTTTCTAACCTTAAAATTTCCCCATTATTATTATTTTTTTAAAGTGGTAAAAGAAAATCATTGTGTTATGGTGCTATTTAATATGTAAATTGCATCACTATACATAAACTAATGTATGGTTTTTTTAAAAAAACGAACTAAAAATAGAGTAAAAGCCATCATCCCTCTCCAACTGGAAACCTTAGAGCACATTTAGGTGAATGGAGAGTATTCCTGGCACATGTTGGTGCAGGTGAGTTGGGACTGGCACAAGTTCTGACACTCTCAGAAACTCATAGAATTGAGTCCCAGAATAAAGTGTGTGCTTTTGCAAGTCAGAGGGCCCAGGGCACGGGAACACCCTGCTGTAAGGCAATCTATGTCACCAGTTCAAGGCATCCTAATATTGGTCTTAGGAGGCAAACTTCTAGTATCATTTCTGATGCAGAGGACCTAGGTACACCAAGCTAACCAGGTATAGGAATGGCAGTATTATTTATAATAGAAAAAAGTCACAGAATGTAGTGATGTACAATCATGATTACATGGCCTATGGAAACAGTGAAACACTGTAAAATAAGAACAGTGATGAGTCAGATACAGGTATTAACTTGAAAAGATGCCCTGACATCTGCTAAAAGGAGCAACTGAGAGAAATATGTGAGATGGACTCCAAAGTGGTCCACTTGGTGTGTTGTTCATACACTTGGTGTGTTGTTGGTCCATTTGGTGTTTTGTTCATACACTTGATGTGTTGGTGTGCCCTCAACTGTCCCAACTCTCTAACTAGAAGACTGGAATTATTCAAAACAGTGCTTTGGTCTGAGTCACAAGAGGTTGGGTGAATTTTCCTTTCTTTGTGTTCTTTCATTGTGAAAAGAATACCATCTCATCTCTATTGTGAAGGTCATTGCATCAGAATGTGCCTTTTGAGAATATACAAGATGTTTTAAAACCCTGACAGAGGACTCCCAGGCCTCTATGTCTAAAATAGAAGCTCAGCTTTCAGCCAAGTGTTAACTGAGCAGGAACTGTACACCGTGGGGGCCACATGATGTTTGAGGGTTTAATCTCCAGTGATCATCACACTTTTGCCATACTCTATTGTATGATGTGTCTCCTTAATGATATTTTCAAATTGCCCCAACAAGCCACTGAGGGCTGTTACCTAAGTCGTATTACTTCAATCCAGGAAGCTTAGTTACCAGACAATTAACATCAAGAATTAAAACACAAAGTTTGGCAGTTTGCTCTGAGGTTGTCCTCCTTCTAACCCTAGCCCTTTTCCAGCAACTCCTGCCCATTTAGATTTGAGTAAATTCTGCGGTTTAGAGAAAGATGGTCCATACTCCATTTTATGGCTTTTTTTTTTTTTTTTTTTTTTTTTTTTTTGTGCTTTACCCAATGTCCAGAACGGGCTCTTAAGCTACGCGGTGCAACCAGTCGGCTGAGTGCAATTGACAGGGAGGTTATGGGGCTGCCAGCCAGTGTCTACTTAGAGGTGGAGGGTCTTCTGACCAGCAACACATGGTGCTGAACTCACAGTAACCCGGCTTGATCACGAGGCTGTGCTCCCCACTTGCCAGCCACAGACCTCAGTGAAGCCACAGCATCCAGTCAGAGGCCCAGTCAGTATGTGTGGGTAGGAGGAGGGGTGAGAGGGGCTCATTTGTTCTTTTTCCCTGAAGATGAGTAGAAGCTGTAAAAGAGAGGTTCTCAGTCTTTGGGGTTCACGACCCCTTTGGGGTCAAATGGCCCTTTCGCAGGGATCGTATATCTGATATCCTGCATGTCAGTTATGATGAATAGCAGTAGCAAAATTACAGTTTTATGGTTTGGGGGGAGGTCAGCACAACCTGAGGAATAAGGGGTCACAGCATTAGGAAGGTTGAGAATCACTGCTGTAGAGGAATGAGTCTCTCTTGTCTCCATTATGTTTCCTGTCTCTGTGACAGAAACAACGAAAGGGGAAGGGCTGATTTTGATTCATGGTCCCAGAGGTGTCTGTCTGTTGGTGGGAGTACTAAGGCAACTCCACGTGGTTAAAAAGGAGGCTTATTTTGGGGGATAACTTACAAGTAAAGGGATAGTTTACAGGGTCCGGGAGAGGTGAAGTGCAGTCCAGTGGTGTTCTCTGGAGAATTTTGCTCGGTGTACATCCAGCGTCCAGGATCACCAGGAACCAAGAGAGCCAGCATATCCAGATCTGGGTCTTAAGGGCTCCTGTCTTGGCCCTGCCTCGTAGGCATGACAGTTACTGGAAGCCCTCAATGGAAGTAGTACTTCCAGGTCAAAGCTGGAACAGCTACCCACTACATCTATTCATCACGGCAGGGAGGGCATGGTGGAGTAGAGCTGCCCAGGAAGGAGGAAAATTAAAAAAGGAGCAAGGAAAGAGCTCAGAGCACAATCAGCATCTGACCCCCAGTGCTGTTCTTTCTTCTTCCAATTATTCCACCTTCTACTCTTCTCCACCTCCGAGTATCGCTATGATAGCATGACACCATGGAGGGATTAATGACCCATCAATTACACCTGTGGGTTACACCCTCCTGGCTGTTTCTTAGTCTCACCAAATTGACATCAGACTGAACCAGTGCAATCCGGATGGGAGGATGGAAGTTAGACCCGAGATCCTTCCTATTGCCCTGACTCCTTCCCATTTGGTGTCTGTGGGAACCTGTAAAAAGACCCTTGAGTGCGACTTCAGAAATTATGTTCTTCACTGGAGAAGAAGCAGTGAAATGATGAGTAGATAGCCAGAAGGTCAAGATTGGATTGTACTTAATAGATCAATTAAGGAAAAGAGCTTAATCCTTGATCCAGGCTGGCTCAATCATTTCTTCTCCCATCTCAAATGTTCAGCTATACTAGCTAACTGAATGCGGCACTTAGACAGTCTTTGTTTTTCTTTTTCTTTATTCATCTCTCAAACAATACATCCCAGTTGCAGTTTCCCCTCCCTCCACTCCTCCCAGCCTCCCCATTTCCCCTCCCACAGATCCACTCCTCCTCTCTTTCCCTTCAGAAAAGAGCAGGACTCCGAGGGATATTAACTGAACACAGATGTAATGAGACTATGCACAAACCTTCATATCAAGGCTGGACGAGGCAAGCCAGTAGGAGGAAAAGGATCCCAAGAGCAGACAAAAGAGTCAGAGATATCCCCATTCCCATTGTTAGGAGTCCCACAAAAACCCCAAGCTAAACAACAATAACATACACGTAGAGGACCTAGTATAGACCCATGCAGTATCTGTGATTGCTGCTTTAGTCTACTTTTGCCAATTTTATCTATTTATTATCCCCAGTGTTTCAAACTCTTATTAAGAATGTGTTTCTTTGGAAGAGTAAAAGACGCAGAGGGTCAGTTTTGTCTCATTGCATACCATTTGGAAGGTAGAGTGCTGTTTGAATGGGAGTGATCTGGTCTGAGTAGGCTCTGTATCCTGGAGTTTTAGAACAGCAAGCAGAATAACAATGTGGCTTAGGTCCCACTGCATGAGTCTGTGGCAAGGAGTCATCACGGGTTCTTTCAAATGAGGACTTGATGTGATTGATCTTGTGGTTTCCTTCATTGCTTAGCGGTTTCTGCTCCTTAGCTGTCACAGTAATTAACCCAAGATACAAAAGTCTTGCAGACAGCTGATGGAAATTTACTAGTTTTTCCTTGGTGGTGACTTCCTGGCTCTCCTGGCCTCCCCTTCTGAAATCCCACATGTCCTGTGTTGTACTGGAGCCTCTGGTGGTGGCATAGCCTGAAATAACTCCAGAGTTGAGAGAACAAGATTGAACTTTCAGTGTTCAAGATTTATGCCTGAAAAATATCACCATCTCAACACATATTTTATGTGTTAAAATGAAAGACAGAGTCCCTCTGCCTCAGGTGGCAAGCAGGCCATATGTCTGTGAAATTTCCCTCCTCTTGGCCATTCTCGGTATTCTTCCAGCCTCTGCCATCATGAGTGATCACTCCAGCAATGCAGTGGGGCCTCAGCTAGACACTGGAACAACTTTCTTCATAATTACAGCAGAGATCCCAGCCTAACAGATGATGAAGACATGGAAGGAGGCGGGGGGATATAGGAAAAAAACCATCTAGGCTATGCAATAAGAAGCCCAACTATTCAACAAATCGCACATATTACAGGTCTGTTATCGTCACAACTGTGGGGTGCCGTGTTAGCAGAGTGCTGAGGGACTGCCTCCTCAGAGTGTCTGTGCCATTGGCTAGTTCCAGAACCCACTGGTGAGGAAAGAGAGCTGGTTTTCAGGTTTGGCCTCTCCTGTCCTGCTCCACTCTGGACTTCGCTGCTCTCCTAAAAACATGTTGCTTTAGCCTCTTTCATTTTCTGTTCCCGGGCTCTTATTATTTAGTTACGTTACACCAACAGTGATTGATTTATGCTAGGTTTCCATTGTGTTGACCACAGAAAATAACTCATTTTGTTAAATTGACCAAGCCACACACATCTGTGTAATGAAGAAAGCAAGTAGGCAGGGAAGGAATCATTCACTTTGACATCTAGTTTTCAAAGGCTCCCTTTACCTTGCAGAGCAGCGGTCACCCACACTGGCATTTCTGCACCCAGTGCTTCTATAGGATGGCACATCCTTGCTTGGAGATCATCAGTATCCTGCTTGTTTGTTTTCAGACATCAACCTTTCCAGACACATACCGATACTGTTTGCCAAGCACAATCCCCCTGTTTTCCAATACAATGGCCACTTTTATATAGTGTTGCTTATGGAGTCATGTTCTAGTCCACAAGGGAACATAGACCTGTCCTTAGGTCACATGTTAGTAAAGGCAACTCATTCAATATGGGTTATTCTAAAATACTACTGCTTCTTCTCCCAATGTTCCTCCTCTTCTTCCTCCTCCCCCTCCCCTTCCTCCTTCTCTTCTTCCTCCTCCTGTTGTCAAGGAAGTCCATATGCTTGGCACACTCCCTTCTCTACTTGTCCAAACAGCCCCCAGGGGAAGCTCTCTTCTACATTTTACCACGGTTACTCAATTTAGTGCCGCCTTTGTATGATAGTAAGACTGCATAGATGGTTAAGTCTTGAGGGTGAGTGGAACCAACTCCAAGTGTCTTCTGGGGAAATATGATTTAATTGCCCTTTCTGTGTTTCTGTGATAAAATACTGATCAAAAACAGCTTGGGCAGGACAGGATATATTTCAACTTACAAGTTATAGTCCATCCCTGGCAGAACTCAGGGCACACGCTTGAAGCAGAAACCATGTAAGAATACTGCTCACTGGCCTGCTTCCTCTGTCCTGCTCATCTAGTTTTCTTATACAGGCCAGGCCCACCTTCCTAGGGTGGGCACCACCCGCAGTGGGCTGGACCTCCTACATTAATTAGCAACCAAGAACATACCCCAAAGGCCGATCTGATGCAGGCAATTCCGCAACTGAAATTCTCTCTTCCCAGATGTATCTAGGTTCATGTCAAGTTGACAGAAAGAGCCAGCAGTGTCTAAGCAAAACCTTTGTGTCATCTTTTCTTTGGAAATTGATAATTTAACTGGGGAGACAAAAATCTAAAGCCAAATAAGTGCGAGATTCAAATAAAAAATTCAGTTGTCCCACGAGGTGTCACGTGTGTCTGTAACTACAGCTGAAGGGGATAATGGAGCTGGGCTGGGGCGATGGCTGAGTACCTGCCATGCAGGATTGAGGGCTTCAGTTCCCTTTCCAACACCCACATTAACATAATCCAGAAGTGGTGGAGCATGCTTGCAACCCTAACACTGTAGAGGTGGGGAAAAGCCAATCCCTCAGACTCCCTAGTCAGCCAGCCCAGCCTATTCTACAATCTTACACACACACACACACACACACACACACACACACACACACACACACACAGTGAATTGACTCAATGATTTCTCTGATTTTCCATAGTCACTGGCCTAGCTCTGATGGGTTGCACTTATTTGACCAAGTCGACTTCTGCTCCAGCACCTCCCCAGCCTGCATTCTCTTGCAACACCCTGTGGGGACATTGACTTGTACTCCTAGAATTGAAGCATGACAGCTAATGTATCTGGGTCATGAGACAGTATGGAGGTTACCCCAGGCCAGGGGAGTTAGAAAGTATGACCTGGATATATCTTGGTTCTTCAAAGGTGGCCATACTTTGACAGCAGGTTTGCAAATTTCAAGCTGTAGAAAAAGAAGAACAAGGAAAGCGAGAGATCAGGCCAGGAAGGAGAAGTCGTCTGTGTGTGAGCGCTTTGGAGAGATGACGGTCGGGAAGCCGTCTGCCTAGAGGTGATTTTCCATGCTGTTGGAGTGACAGAGATCCATGGGACAGAGGTGTGAAGAGACTTAGGGCTGAGACCCGGAGCTTTGCGAGGCGAGCAGGGTGAGCCACTGTGAAAGAGATATGGAAGGGCACCTTCAGGTCTTGATGGCATAAGCTCATTGTTTAAAAGGATGGCAAACACATGGAAATTGGCAGTGGTTTGGACCAAATGGTATCAAAATCGATACTTTTCATTAACAAAGTGCCCTGGAATTTGATTTGATCTTATTTGCAGGCAGTATCACTTTAAAAGGGATATTTATGCTCCTAAGTTCAGGCATAGAAACTAGCATTCATTAAAAAATATTAGCTCATTATAATTTTTCTTTGCTTGAGCTGGTGGTACCATTTGGAGATATATCTATATAAAAATCTATATATTGAGAGAATGGGGGGGCGTAGGGTAAAATGAAGAAGTTCATTTGACGATGAAGTGGGTGGTTGATTCCCTTAGCATTCTGAGAGCAAACACAGACATCATTATGAATCACTCCAGCTGATGAGTCTAATTCCTTTTAGTACTGTGGCAGCAGACGCTCACATTTCAGTCCTCCATGGACAGATCAATCTTTGTCACCTCCTCATGCATATTCTAGCATCTAGATGGGAGGTTCAGTGTGCTGCACCAGCCTGAGGGAGCAGAACCCTTCTGAGGTAAACTAGCACAGCAGAACTCTTGGTCACCAAAATAAAGGAGTTTCTAAATTCTAGTGCTTTCCTCAAATGACAGTGACCACTGGCAACCCGTACATGTGCGGTGTCAATGCCACACACTTGAATAATCCTGACTTGTGGAGGAGTGTACCTTGCAGAAGTAGTGATTTGTGTGTGTGTCTCATGATAAGCGGTATAAAATGACAGCAGTGCTGATATTGGAAGCTTTTCCAGTGCAGGTTGTTGAGTGTGGATGTGCTCACACCACCCACACGCGCGCGCGCGCGTGCACACACACACACACACAAACATATATGCACAGACATCATATATGTGCAAGTGTACACAAACACACACATACACATGAGTCACAGCCACACACTCAGATGTTAGGCTCCTTAGTACAGCATGTGAAATTTTGGAGTGAGAGGTAGTCACAACTGTCTTAGAAAAAAAATCTTATTTTTTTTTTTTGAGAAAATTTTGTATACGTAAAATAGATCACTCCTATTGGTCTCAATCTTTGAAGAATTCGGGAGATTTTAGTCATGGGAAATCATTGTGTGCATATTTACCTACCTTGACTGATGCTCAGCCAAAGGCCTATGGTGACTGGTCTGTACTTCCAAAGGCAGCCATGACTATCACACATCAGGTGGCCTAGAAAACAGAACTTATATTTGTGAGCCTAGATCAAGGCACTGGCTTATTTTTCCTGAGGCTGTTAAGATAATCCAAATCACTCTCCCTGCCCAACCCCACCTGCTTCTGGGTTTGCTGACACATGACATTTCTTGACATTGTCTGTTCCACACACATTTCAGCCTCCATCTCCACCTGATACTCTTCCCGTGTGCCCTTGTGTGTTCACATATCATCCGTTTACATGGATGATGATACTGGGCCAGAGACCCGGATCACTCCAGTGTAACCACATCTGACTAAACTTCTAAATAAGATCACATTCTGAAGTACTGGCATTTAAGACTTCAGTGTATGAATGTGGGATAAATACAGTTTTCCTATCGTTCTCTCTGGTGACATTCTATCTGGACACTCTTTTCTCACCTGTAACATACATTTAGCTTAGGACAGCACCCCAAGTGTCTCCAGAGTTGGCCATGAAATACTGTCTATTCCACAGTGACAGACAGATTATAGTCCCTCTTTCTTTGATTAGGCTAATGCTGTGTGACTCCTGGGGCTGAACTGTGTGGGAAGGAGAATTCTGCTTTCACTTTTTAGAATGTCCTCCAGGGGAACCTAGCCTCCACTTTGTGATCAAACAAAAAAGGCCTCCTGGGAGAGTACTAAAGCATCAGACTATAGCCCTGCCTAAACAAAGCTGGAGATCAATACAAATTACCACTGTGTGATCAGGGCATTCTATCCTTAGTCAGGTTTCCTATGACCCCATGTGAATCAGAGAAACTCTTGGGTACACAAAGAGTTGTAATCAATAATAGATTGCTATTTAAGCTATAGTGCCCTAGAGCAGACTGCTAGACAGTAACTGGAAAATTGAAATAGAATTTGGTATCAGAAGTGGGGTAATTAATAACAGAAACCCCAAACAGATGGCCTTGATTTGGGAGAACAGGAATCTGAAAGTTAAAAAGAAGAGTATCATTACCCATGATGACCCTGTGATTCACACTTGGAAAATAGAGACATGTTCTCTGCTACTAATGAGTGTTTGACAAAAACTGGTGTTTGCAGGAATGTGGAAGATAGCACACATATAAATGGACCCGTGGCTCTGGCTTTAAAATTCCCAGGCAGTGTTGATGTGCTAACAGTGTTTGGATTTTTATAATAAAATGTGAGGGAAAGATATGGTAGATTTTAAAAGAACTTTGATTTCTGAGCATAATGTAAAGATAAAATGTCAATTTGTGCCTTGAGGTACGAAGAATATATTTGTTTCTCATTTTTCCCCTATCTAATTGGTAAAGATTCTAAGGAAGAGGTGACTTAGGCGATGATGGGACACAGATGCTACCATGAGTGCACGGTCTAGGAGGAAAGGGCAAGCCAAGAGAGTGGACACCCTCCCCGAGGAATCCAGGACATTTGCAAAGGTCACAAAATACACCAAATTTCTAAGGTTTTTAAATCAATTTTTCATTTATTTTTCTGTGTCGAATGTTTTGTCTCTAAGAATGTCCATGTACCAAATGTGCACAGTACCAGAAGAGACCAGAAGAGGACATGAGATCTGACATCTGGAACTGGGGTTACAGATGGTTGTAAGCTGCCACTATTGAGTGCTGGGAATTAAACCCTGGTTCCCTGAAGGAAAAGCCTGTGGATAGAGCAAGAAGACATCTCCCCAGGATTCTAAGGTTTTTTTTTTTTTTTTTATTGGCATTTTCCATACAAATTTCCAAGAAAATTCCATTGGAATTTTCTCTTACAGCCAAATTTTCTCTCATAGCCCAAGTATAGTGAAGTGAGTTTCAAAGAGTATGTGGGTTCAAATTTTGTACTGCAGACTAGACTTACAATTTCACAACTGAACTCCTGATGTTATTTAAGAAGCATCTCTTGGATGTGGCCCGGTCCGTTGCCTGAGCTTTGGCTGAGTGTGTACAATGGAAGGAACTGTGAAGCCCTCCCAGCAAGGTTCCAAAGCCGACCTCCTGGACCTTGCCCCACATCAAGGACACCAAGTTGGCTGAGTGGAGTCACATTTTTGCTGTTTGTCCCTCGGCATGACATATGTGAAGACACCCAACTGTATACACCAGATAACATCTTACAGAGCAAAATAAACGTCCTGTCCAGACCTGTCTGGATTCCTGATGCACAATATTGTAAATAAATAAAGCTTGCTGTTGAAATAACCAAGAGGGGGATGTTCATTACTTAACAACCAGTAGACAAAACAGTAACTTAGAGGTGACAATATGCAGAAGGATTTTCCTGCCTCTGTCACACCCCTCTAGATGGAATGCCATCTTTACTAGACATGACCAAAGCACATCTGTTTCACATACATAAGTGAAAAGAATGGGCTTGTTTGGAGCTGGAGCAGGCTGGTTCAGTGCTTGCCTAGCATTGGTGAGTGCTAGGTTCGATACCTAGTGTCTGAAAACAACAGAGGAGGGGTGGGGGAGGCAGAGACACAGAGACACACGCAGAGAGACAGGGAGGAGAGAACAAAAAGAATAAGGAAACATGTTTTAATGCAACTAAGTGTGAATTGTGTAATATGCACATTACTGTACCGATAAGCAAAATGTGATAAATTTCTCCTTATTTTGAACATGCATTCTAACTGAAACCATCCATCATATTGTTCTGATCATACTTGATGACAGGAGGTGGTCAACAAAAGCTGCTCCTAGGACTGTGTATGTTAGAGAGAGGACGCAGGGATTGAGGTGGGGGAGGAGCCAAAGAGCCCTTTGACACCAGGCGGCTTCTTTCTCCCAGGCCTTTGTCCCCGCCCCGCTTTCATCTATGGAACACAGCACAGTGTTTACCATGTGATGTGCTGTGGATGAAAGTTTTGAAAAGAACTCTGATGTACAAAGAGCAGGGCAGGGGGGAGCAATTTAAATAAAGACAATTTACAAATCCCCAACTCTTTGAAATTTCACATAGTTTTTCCCTCATTCCAAATCTATAAGCTGCCATGGAGGACCCACATGAGACAGAAGGTGCCTGCCTGAGTGAGTGTTTTTCTGCTCATATCTTTTCTCCTTTCACGTCCCCTGACGTTCATCTGGAGAGCTGTGAGCTAAACCCACAATTATTACTAAGATGGATTTCGAGTCCATCTACAGCTGCAGCTACCACTTCTCTGAGGCAGATGGAACATATATTTATCAAGATGTCTGACTTGAACAAAAAGCAAAACAAGAACCAGTAATGGCATCGCCTGCCTATTTGTATTTTTAAGGAAGAGACTCATTTTCTGGCTTCAAACTTCCCTTTCTCCCTCCTGGGTCTAGGTGCCATGTGCCAGCAAAGGAGAGCAGTGGTACCCAGAGTCATAGGTGTCTGTGAGGTTGTCTGTGCACGCAGGATCACCACTAAGAGACAACCAACATGCGGCAGGAATTTCTGTAGATAATTACATTACATGGGCTTGCGAAATGTCAGGCATGAAATAATAAACAGGGCCCTGGGCTTGGCTGTTCTTTCTAATCCGATAGAGCCATCTATGGAGTGTTCTTTGCCTCTCAACTCTCCATCAGGGGAATGGCCTTCAGTCAGCAGCTCCTTCCTTCACAAAATACTGCACAGGCTAGCATTTTTCCACCCTCTCTACAGTATTAATTAAATTACATAAAACTGGCAGTGTTTAAATTCTGGCATCTGTATTGTCTCATTTAATTACACCCCTGGACTCTTTTCAAAATGCATTCATTTGCTGCAGGGACATCTATCGGTGGAAGGGGAGAATCGGATGCTAGTGATCAAACAAACCATGCCTCCTGCTTGGCTCACCCGTCCTGACTGAGTGACTCTGCAGGTCCTCTGTCCTGAGCCACTTCTGTCCACTTCTGAGGGATTGCAGTGTGACAGTAGTGACAGATATTTACTTTGAATTAGGAAGAGTTTAGTACTAGGCCTCAAAAATTAATTATGCTCTCCCCACCCTAACCACTTCTTTCAAACCCATGCAAGAACACTGTGCAGCAAACACATTTCCATCTTGAATGCCACACAGCAGCAGCCTTATTGTGGATACTGTGCCTCCAAAGTGGGGGCTTACACCCACGCTCTAAGAGAGCACTCTTGCCTTCCCTGAGTTAGGAAGGGTCAGGTCCGGGTCAGGTAAGGTCATAGCAGACAATCCACTCAATGGTCAGACAGCCAGCTTCCCAATGTGAGCCCATGGGAACATAAAATAAAGAACCCCCCAACACTTATTATTGTAGTTTTTTTTAAATAGCGTTTTGTTTGCTCTTTGCAAATTTCATATATTTTGTTCATATTCATCTCCCTCTCCCAACTTCTCCTAGTCTTCTCATCTCCCTACCCAGAAGAGTTCATGTCTTATCACTCTCCCTCTCTGAACAAACAGACATGGAGTGAAGTTTGTGTTGGGTGACTATTCCTGATCATGAGACATGCTCCGGAGTGTGGTTGATACCCTAGATATCACTCCACTGAAGAAAATTTGTTCTCTCAGCAGCAATCCCAGCCCACTCTCTCCTTATCTGGTGGTGGAGCTTCATGCCGACTTCCCGTCTTCCAGGCTGAGGCTTTGTCTGGTGTGAGTTTGTGCAGGTCTTGTGTGGCCGTCGCCATTCCTGTGATTTAACAAATGTGCATCTGCCCTGTTGTGTCTGGAAAATGCTGCTTCCTTGACGTCATCTTCTGACTCCTGCAATCTTTCTACCACTTCTGCATACATCCTGGAGTCTCAGGGAGGTGTGTGATGCAGGCATCCCATTTAAGGCTGAATAGTCCAAGATCTTTTATCCTCTGTGTGCTGTCCAGTTGTGAGTTTCATCTTAATTACCATTGACGGCAAGATGAAGCTTCTCTGATGAGGGTCGAGTGATGTGGTGCGCTATGGGTGTAACAGTCTGTCATGAGGGGTTGTTGTATTGATATTTCTATTTAGCAGAATAACGACAGGTAGTTTTTCTGCTAGGGGCCCGTGATCTATCTAGCCTCATTGATGGTGTCAGATATGGATC